GTCTATCTTTATTCTGAATGATTTGAGGATAGGTCTAAAAGACGGCACGAACTTTCGGACCCACCTGATATATTGCTTCTCAAACGTCTGTGCTCTCGCTGCTAATTATTTTTGTTAGCCTTCCGGCTTCTTTGTCTGAGACCACCACAGGCGTTAACAAATGATGTGCTTACAGTAATGTGCTTCAGATAGAAAAAGGAGCAGGTGTTGGTGCGAAGTGGAGCGATGAGGAATATGCCAAAGAAGGAGCAAAGCTCGTTACGAACGAGCAAGCTTATAAGGCTGACATCTTGCTCAAGGTATGCAAAAAGGCCTAGCAAAGATGGGGACCATTAGAATCTAATTTTAGGTCCGACCACCCTCACTTACAGAGGCCGCACTCCTAAAGGATAACTCCACGTTGATCTCGTTTCTGTATCCCGCTACAAATAAGGAACTTGTAGATGAATTAGCAAAAAAGAAGTTGAACGCCATTGCTATGGATTGTGTGCCTAGAATCTCACGAGCACAGGTATGCTTTTCCCCGCTGGGGAAAATCCAAAAAATGTTATTTTGTAGGTGTTTGATGCCTTGTCATCTATGGCGAACATTGCTGGATATCGAGCTGTGATTGAAGCAGCTCATCATTTTGGTCGATTTTTTACAGGACAAATTACGGCTGCTGGAAAGGTGCTAAATTCATTAGATTGAAGTGGAAATAGCAAAAAAAATGTTCTATGCAATTTTGCAATAAAGAATATCTTCTAGGTTCCCCCAGCTAAAGTTCTTGTGATTGGTGGTGGTGTAGCAGGTCTCAGTTCAATCGCAACGGCCAAAAACATGGTCAGTGGTCCCATACGGTAATTACCGTATCTCACTGCCTGCAAGATGGCACTTTTAGGGTGCCATTGTTCGTGGTTTTGACACCCGATCGGCTGTCAAAGAACAGATTCAGTCATTAGGAGGAGAATTTCTTACCGTTTCGGTGAAAGAAGAAGGTGAAGGAACTGGCGGATATGCGAAAGAAATGAGCAAAGAATTCATAGATGTAGGTTTTATCACTTGTTTTTGGTCATTGTGGTGGAAGAAATCCTTTGCAGGCTGAGATGGCATTGTTTGCAAAACAATGTAAAGATGTTGATATCATTATATCTACTGCTTTAATACCTGGAAAACGTGCTCCAGTACTTATCACAGAGGTGCGATCTTAACTTCCGTGCATTCTTCATTTTGATGAATGAGATTTAGGAAATGATAAAAACTATGAAGCCTGGTAGCGTTGTGGTAGATTTGGCAGCTGAAGCTGGTGGAAATATTGAAACCACGAAACCTGGACAATGCTATATCAATCATGGCGTAACTCATATTGGATATGTTGACCTCCCGTCGAGGTGCTTAATTCGTTTTATCCTTATCTTCCAAAAGAAGAATTATGCGAAATATACTGTAAAATACTGCTTTAATACCTGGAAACTAGCTGCAAGCTTTAAGAACTAGGGGGCAGATTAAGGATCGAATGATTGATGCGTCATAAGAAAATTTGCTTTCACTTCCCTCATGCAGGATTCGCGAAAGACTAAGTTGTTCCGAAAGTTCCTCCAAGTTGCAGATTTTTCGTTCAGTGGTAACTCTTCTTAAAATTAACATTTTTGAACAAATCAAATTTTGCTGGAATGAGCGAACATATGGCTATCACAATTACAGTATGCTATGTGCATAAGGGAAGTGAGAGAGAAGAGAAAATTTAAGCAAATTCTGCAAGTTTTCTTCAATACTGTCTACTCGCATGCTAATGCTTCCATGAAGAATAGGCAGACATATTTGGCTGCCGTCATAAAGTAGCCTATACTCCATAGTTTGTTTGTCTAAAGTTAATTTAAGTTGTCATTGCTGCACAGAGGTTTCTGTACTCCAGAAAGCCATTTTTGAGCCAATCTCCACTCGCGCAAGTATGCCAACTTTCTTCCAATAATTGAATTTTTTTATTGCTATTGCGAAGGTGATTTGTTGATGGTCCCTGCTTGCTCTAGCTTTACTCTAACATATGCAGCACTTAAAGCATCACTTGCGCTGTACCTATATTGTTGTTTGAAGAACGACTGAGGACAAGAAAGGACAAGAATAACATAAACTTCAATGTGACAAATTTAAAAAGTAAGACATCTATCATCTGGAAGTAAAAGTGTACATATGTTAGCCCAACCTTAACCCATTATAAAATATTACATAATCTATTAAACACCGCGGAAATTTTCTTCACAAAAACTTATTTGAGCATGACTGT